ATATATAATGCTGTTTGTGTGATGATTTGTTATTATATTTGTTTTTAGGCAAGAAAGGGATTTGGTATCCTTCAGTCTGAGGAGACTGGTAATACCTACATGAGGGTATATTTATTACCTTAATAGCTTTCTTTCTTATCTTCCTCATTTTTGCAATCTCATGGCTGGTTTTATACTTGTATACTTATTTTTCTTTATTATTTAAAATGTCACAAATGCAGTTGGCATCAGAAAGAAGAGTACATGTCATTTCTGACAGAGGTGCTGGTTCTAGTAAGACTGGAGGAAAGGGGAAAATGCAAAAGAGAAGGAAGACTAAGGATGCTTTAGGCACTCAAGAGAGTGTTGCTCGCAAGGATGATTAACTTTGATTTATTTTGGAGTGTTGTTGATTTTTGGAGTACTTTTGAACCATGGATGTTTGACTTAGATTTAGTTTTGGAGTATGGTTGATTGTGGATGAACTTTTGCTTTCTGTTTTAGGCACTCAAAATGGTTTACCAATGATGGATAACTTTTGTGAATGTAATGAAGTTGAATTATGTTGGGTTATGATTTGAACAAAGAATGGTTGTTGAAAGAACTGAGTAATGATTTTGGAGTGTTGTTCATTTCAGATTTCTTCCTTAGATGCAATGTTTTTGTTCTGTCAAGTATGTGATGTTGTTTTGGAAGTAAGCAGGTTTGGGTATTTTGTAGTGTTGTTGTAATGTTTAGAGGGTTGGATGATTGTAATGTTGATCTCAGTGTCCTATAAATATTGTGTTGGTTTGTTATGTTACAAAATTCTATCTAATAAATTGCAAAACATAACAAAAAAGGACAATAACAATGAGATAAACCACAACAATAGATTACATTATCTCTTAAGTTCAATACATCCACAAAATGAGATAAAAACACAAAATGAGATAAAAACTGAACAATATTCAAACCAACATTTTAGGCCTCTGCTCATGACCAGATTTCCCAACCATAATAAGGAAAAAAATCATCATAACCACAATCAAGCAAAACATTACAACATTCATCTTCCTTTCCAGTTTTTGCATGAGACATAATGTATCTTTCATAACCAGCACGACTTCACTGTTCTTCCGAATTTCAATCTCAAGATCATTCAGTTTTTGTTCAAAATCAATCTCACGGTCCGCAATTTCATCTCTTTCCAATGCCTTTCCGTTGTACATTTTCTCCACTGCAACCTTACCCCTCAACTGCTCTTCCAAATACTCTTTCTTAGATTTCAATTGCAAAAACCAATATTTTTGGAACTCAGAAAGTTCGGGATCAATCCATTCGAAAAAACCGCAGTCCGTCCCTTCCTAAACAAAGTAAACCGAAAAATTAGGGTTTATACAAATTGGGGTTTTAATTAGGTTTATGAAATTTGGGGATTTTGAAGAAAACAATCGAAAACGCCGCGGTCATTCCCTTCCTAAGCAAAGTAAACCAAAAAATTAGGGTTTATACAAATTGGGGTTTTAATTAGGTTTATGAAATTTGGGGATTTTGAAGAAAACAATCGAAAAAGCTGCGGTCATTCCCTTCCTAAACATTGTAAATCAAAAAAATTAGGGTTTATAGAAAGGGTTTTAATTCGGTTTATGAAATTTGGGAATTTTGAAGAAATTAATGTTCTCACAAAATATACGTAGCTCACCTTCGACGTAGCACATCTATAGAACCTTCTACATGGGTTATCGTCCGTCTTGGAGCTATACACATTGACTACCTTGCGATTGGGACAGCGACAGATCTTCGAAGGAACGCTGAAGCTTCCAAAACTGTGGCTTGTGCGAGATGAAGACGACATTTTCCACTAGCAGGATCGTGGCTTGGTTGCTCGAGTTATCGTCTGCCAAAAGAGAAGAGAAAAAAAGAAAGAACTTTCGAAAGGAAAATGTCAGGATAATTAGGGTTGGGAAATTTGTGAAATTGGGGAAGAGAATGGACTTTTATACTCGTTTATGTGAAATTCCACGTATTTTATCAAGTATTACTGAGCAAACTGAAAATTACACGTAGATGCATCTCGCCGGACACGCTGGCATGTTTTGGCTGTCCGACGAGTTTTAAGTCGATTTTGCAAAAGTTATAAAAGGTATAGATTATATTGCAATTATGTAGAAGTTTGGATTAAATTGCCAAAAGTGAAAAGGTCGAGGTTTATTTGGCAATTAACCCTTTTAATAACTATTACTTTAATCTAATTGTTCAAATTTTATCTCATTTTTTTATCGCACAATATAGTAAAATGACTTATTTTATATAATTTTTTTTTTCAAAAACTATAGAAATTTTATAAAAAACAAGAATCACGTAATTATAGCTAGAATAGCCAAGCAGCAAAACAGCTAAATTCAAGAGGTCTACACAGAGATAGTCTAGGAACAACTACACGGAACCAATTGAACCTGAAAGTCATGACCGAATAGTTTCTCGTTAGAACGTTTAGATCGGACTGATAAAGCCAGAAGAATCTACTAAGTAGTAAGCAAAGCTTGGTGCCAAAGGCTGACGAACGGCCGAATTACCTCTTCGACTTAGAAGGTGTTAATGTGGAATAGGATCCAATATTTCTAGATTTTTAATTGATGGGGGGGGGGGGGNGTCCTTACCCACAGTTTACGATATATGTAGTGACCCACAGTTTATGCAATCGGCACTAACGCACCCACAGCACAACAAAATATACAGCTCACAACAAAAAAATAACATGCTCCCACAGGAGAAAACAACACAACTGAACGACCACACAGCTCCCAAAGAGGAGAAAACACAACCCAAAACACAACAACAAACACAAAACAACAACACACACAAAACAACCCAAAAAGCAACACAAAAAGCAACACCATTATCTTTCCCCAGAAAACAAGCTAAGCCCAATAGTCCAACACGAAGCACCAGCAGAACCCACGTCGACCACCCAAACGAACTAGCCCGAAATCCCAGAACCGACACCTGAAACTGCCAACGCCTAGCTGAAGTCGACGCCACAGACCCCGACCCACTCCAGGAAGACGAAACCTGACCCACAGCCGAAAGAGCAGAAACCCGCACCCCCACACACCACCATCGCCCCGGACCCAGCCAACACCACTGGCCAAGGTCCGGCAGCACTGGCCTCACATCCACACCACACCAGGGAGCATGGGAACAGAGGTCAGAATAAGCCACTCCTCAGCATCATTTAACCTGCCACAGACATCACGAGCGGCTAGGGCCACACCCACGCCGCAATCTCGCACCACCACCCGGCACCATCTCGAGACCAGGAAGGCGGACAAACTGCGACCTCGATCTCCAACCAGAGATTGGCGACACCCAACCCTCGAGCAGTCGTCATGCTGCCCCGGCGCACGAGAGGGGCCGCACGAAATTAGAGCAAGAGTATAGGCCATCCACCGGCAAAGGGCTCGGCTGCCTGCCGGGGATGGTACACGAGAAATTTGATGGTGACTGCTAGGGATTTACTGTTCAATTTGGGGAAATCGGCCGAGAGGATTGATGATTTTATTCTAAGGATTGACGAGAGGGGCCACATTTTCACTTCCTTCATCTTGCACTCTTCAACCAAGAAATACACACATCAACCAAAAAAACCTTTCAAGCATTTCAGGCTCCAATTATAATTACTCGATTTACCTCTCGTGTTTAAGGTATAATGTCCGTCAATTAATTTAATTATAGACAATATAACTAATCGACTTCTTGTGTCGAGATTACTATCACTCAATTCTTTATTATTATGTCGGAACTTAATCCACCTGGATGGTTTAACATAATAATCTTTTTTTAGTTCATCTCGGGGACATCATCAGACTAACGCATACGGTGACTGTAAATATTCGAACATCACACCACACACACATCATCACTAGCCAAACCACATTATATTATTGACCCAACTTAATCTATCTCACTTTTTAGTTAATCAAATTAGCAGCTAAGATATGCACATGCTATTTATATCTTATGAGTTAAGAGTATGCAATAATTAATTGAGATCTAGCTTGTCTACTCAATCAGCATAAAACAAATTTATTCTCTCTGGGATCCGTTCAACACACGTAGGGAATGTTTGATTAGGTAGACAAGACAAGATTAGCCTAGATATCTACCCTAAAAACCTTGTTTGGTAGCATGTATTAAAGCCCGTAAGCCCTTAATCGGCCCGCATCTGAACAGTGTACAATCTTGGTTTCCAGAGACTATTGGGTTGCGGGTAAGGGGCCAAGATAATTAATATCTGCACAATTCAATTTATGTAAAACGACTTTTTCGCACACAAATTTTTTACTTTTCAGACCAAAACACCCTTAAATGTTGGTAAATTTACACAACACCATCCCACCCACCTAAGTTTTTTAGGCATTTTGAAGTACTTATTCTCTGCTACCTTACTGTGCTCATACGACATCTCAACATTGCGGCGTTCTGTTGTCGAAGAAGTATAACATTATCGGATACTTGGATCATCGCACTTTTGCTGGTAAATCTTGAAGCCATTCGTAGTTCGCAGTGCTCTATTCACTTTATTGTCTTTTTGGTGTTGGAAATGTACAATGTGTGGCGATTAATTTTTTTGGGCAGTTTTTTTTTTTTTTTTTTTTCCNCCGGATGTTGTTTGACTTTGTGAACATTGTCATTTGATAAACGACAGGAGTGTGTTTTCAAGTACAGATTTTTTGGAAAGTAGGGTATCAAAACTTTTTTTCTTTAATTTTTTGTATGCCTGCGATGTGTCTACAGTACTTGGGAAGTTGAATTCTAAGTCATTCATTTTTTAAGATGAAGTCTCTTAAATTAGTTTAATGGCCTTTATGTTGTCTCCTGTCAATTGAGATTTGAGTTTACTGAAACAATTGTATATAAATGTTGATTTCTCTTTTTGTTTGTTTTCTATATTCTTGTGTCTATCTCAATTTGGTACGTGTTCTCACTAATATCTCACTCATTATCTGTTGTTTTTTATTAGATTGTGGATTAAAAAAATGGACATTGAAATGGAAGACATTGAAGTCATTGTGGTGTTAGAGGAAATAATTAATATGTTGGAAGTTATTTTCCTACTTGGTTTGGTTTTCGTTAAGCTTTTTTGTGAGAAAAATCTTTGGCGTGCTGGAGTTGACGACGACACACCGACAACCTTCAGTATGGCTGAGAGACTCCCAATGCAAATCGAGCATATGAAACAACTCATTTGTATTAGTGATAAAACATGTGTAGAACAACTTCGTATGGACCGTAATGCCTTTGGTCGTTTATGTTATTTGTTGGAACATGTTGGTAAACTAGAGGGCACAAGAAATGTTCAAATTAATGAACATGTTGCCATTTTTTTTAGTGTATTGAGTCATCATAAGAAAAATGTTGTGGTGAAATATGATTTTAATTGGTCTAGCCAAACGATTAGCAAATTGTTCCACAATGTTCTAAATTCCATTTTGCGATTACACCCATAACTCGCCGTCCAACCAAAGACAATAGACAAGACCAGTTCTGATTGGAGGTGGAAATAGTTTCAGGTTAGTGAAAAATTTTGGTAATGAAAAACCGTTTTACGTTTTGTTTTGATGTATACTTTTTATTTTTTATTGGGGGAGGACTATTCTGAATCGTGCAGGTGAGGTTGCTTTTGGTTGGAATTATTAATGTAATTGTTGTTGTACCGCAGGGCTGTTTGGGAGCATTAGATGGAACTTATATTCTGGTGTTGGTCCCCCTGCAAATTGCACGCCTGTTACAGAAATATGAATGGTTCTATTTTGGTAAATGGCTAGGCGTTTGCAATGTTGAAATAAATTTTCATACGTCTTATCTAGCTGGGAAGGGTCGGCTGCGGATAGAAGAGTTCTACGAGACGCGGTCCGTCGTGTCGGTGGATTGCGCGTACCTAGTGGTAAACTTTTTTTTAAATAAAACCTACATTTAATGACTTGTAATTATGTAAATACTGCGTGTTGGTTGCTTCCTTTTTGGTTCATAAAATAATAAAATTTTCTATAAATTTGCCACAGGAAACTATTATTTATGTGATGGCGAATATACAAATGGACCCGGTTTTGTAGCCCCTTATAGAGGCGTCCGTTATCATTTGGACGATTATGGTGATGGTGATCGAGCACCGAAAAATTATAAGGAACTATTTAACCTTCACCATGCACGAGCAAGGAATATCATTGAAAGGGCTTTTGGTGTTCTGAAGATGAGATAGGTTGTTTTAAGGAGCAAAACGTTTTTCGATATAGTAACCCAAAATAACATTAGTTTGTTGCCTTTTATAAAACTTCATCCGTTCATGACCCTATTGAAAATGAGGATGAGGATACACCGCACAATGGTGGCACCCAAGAAGCATTACACCCGAGTGATTATGTTGAAGTCGTGGAGCCTACGAGTGAGTGGACTAATTGGAGGGAAGCCTTGGCATTGTCGATGTACAATGAATGGAATGTTGGAAACTAGTGCTTCTCGTCATTACGCAAGTTTCCCTAAAAAAAATTGCATTCTCTTTAATGTTATTTGACATCAATTTTTTTTTTTTTTTTTTACTTTTCCATCTCTATGCTTGCGTGTTTTTTTCTTGGTGTCCTATGGACAGTTGTAGTTTTGTCGTTTCGTATTAATTGTTGAGGAGTGGCTATGGGAGGAAATGGTACAATTGTTTGTGTTTGAACATATCTCTATTAATTGAAATGGAATATGGTTATTTTCGATTGTCATCCCCGTTGTTGGTTTTTGTCTATGCTCTTGATTTATTAACAGTGATGTGACATATTATTTTGTGAGTAGAAACTCCATGGAATCTACTACTACCATGGGACGCACTAGAAATCCAAGCAATACCCTCCACGTTTGGACAGTAGACGAGGAACGCGCATTGATCCTAGGATTGAAAGAGGTAGTTGCGCGTGGTTGGAAATGCGATAACGGGTTCCGTTCGGGTTATACGACTTTCTTAGAGCAGCATATCCATCAACATTAGGCGGAAACATGTATCTCTTCTAAAATAACGGTGTGGAAGAAACACTACGGACAACTTGCTGCCTTATTGGTTGGGACATCAGGATTGGGTGGTCTGAAACTGGGCACATGTTAGAAGTAGATGAAGAGGTTTGGGAGAACTATACGAAGGTATGGCCTCTAAATTGAATTCCAATTTTGTGAATTAGTTTCTTTCTTGCTAAATAAGTGGTGGCTTTTTTGTTTTGGTTTACATGTATAACAAATGAAGGAGTTCCCCAAAGCAAAGTCGTTAAGAGGCAAATCGTGGCCATTCTATTTTGATTGGCTAAAAACATTTGGAAAAAATCGTTCCACCGGTGAGGGTACATATGGCTTTGCGAATCACATTCTTAGGGATACCGGTGAGTATACACCGGCAACCGGGTCATGGCCCGGTGGTGTTCGAGGTATATTCGAAGATCCAAAAAATGATTTGCAATCTTCCTTGGCGCATGGGGGTTGAGAGCAGTGCCTCCGGTAAGGGTAACCTGACAAGCAAACGGAAAAGGCCTTCGGACTTGAGCGAACTAGTGGTCGGTTTGCTTTCAACCAAGTGTGACAAGACTGACGAACGTATGTCAAAATTGGTAGGCCATATTGGTTATCAACAAGAACAACGAAAGCTTGTTTTTGAAGCTTTGGAAGCCATTTCTTATCTTAGTACGAATCAAAAGGTGATTGTCGGGAAATATTTCTGCAAGAACTGTGATGAGCTTGACTTTTTCTTTACCTTGAACGACGATGGTAACGCGTCAATGGTTGGGATGATACTCGATGGTACAATTTAGTGCCAAACCGTTTATGTCTAAACGGTAGCGGATGTAAGGACTGTACATCAGATGTTAAGTCTTTCTTTTTTAAATTATGACATTTAACAATTGCTGGCGTCCTCGTAGGTTGAACTAATGTCGCTTCTTGCATATTTTTTGCTTGAATGTTTTGGAATATTTTTTATATTTTTATGTATTGCGTACAAGTTTTGTGAACACAAGCAATGGCCTTCCTTTTCTTGTCTTCAAAGGTAATATTCATTTTACTATTTGTGGCCTAAAGGTGGTGTAGTAAATCCTCCAAAATCCGGGTTCTTTATTATTGGATATGTCAAATATTGATGAGACAACAAGAAAAACATGTACTATTATAACCATCGAAGGTTTGCCGAAGTGAGTACGAAAAAATTATATTCTCACCAAAACCATTTTATGAGAAATCAGAAAATCAATTACCAACTTGTTATGGTGACCATGTGAAATAATATATGCAAGGCCAAGATAGTTCTGTTATAATGGAACCATATGTTCATTGTTCTGAAAAAATGTAAGGTTGAAAAATATATATTCTTGTTCCCAGGTATATATAAGCTATACCAATATCATATTAAAAATAATACGTTCAGAAATTCATATAACAAAAAAAACTTATGTACAAATAAAAAGAAATGAATAAGAAAAAAGTAAAACATATCAATAAAAACTTCACATTTATATTTATGGGTATATTGTCCGAGTAGGTTTGTTGAAATACTAATTTAAAGAGTTAAAAATATATGAACGAATGTGACTACTATTTTACAAAACCAACAAATAACAAAAAAAAAAGTTGGGTTTTAATAGTGCTAAAATGACTCATTATATGTGTTGTGCATATAATAGGTTCATAAGTTCATTTTTTAAATTTTGAGGCTAGCGTGTCAACACATAATAAGAATAACAAGCCTCCCATTTTGTTTTGTATAATAAATAACAAAAACATTCCAACGGTGAGGGCGTTAAAATATTGGTGGTTGAGTACACAGTAGACCATATTCAATTTTTCCATTTAATTCATGTCATGTCCAAACCAACACCCATTAACAATCACACAATTCAAGAAAATGGTTTAACTCCACTAATGCTGCCTATAAATGGTGGTAAAGAGGTCAACTCCAACAGATGGTGGCGATCCTTCTAGTACAAGATCCTGTAGTAGGTAGACAATTATCTTATTCATGTTTTTAATAAAACCACTGCGGATTTGGTTATTTTTTAACTCGATGATGCACTTACCAAATTTCAGTAGAAGGGACTGCTCCTAAAAATACCTCTTGTCTTTATGATATATTTATAATAATTTGTGTATTTTTTTCTGTTAAAATGTAGTCAGATATTTGTTGTGTCAAGGTTGTTATTCAAGCATGGATCGTGAGGCTCGCATGCAACGTATTGCGGAGCGTTACCGCGTTCCCGGTTGGACAACTCAAGAAGAGCGGGTGTGCTATGAGCTTTTCTTCGACATGTGTCGGGAAACGCCGAACACAAATCAGTCGGTTACGCTCAACTCATTGTGGCCCGACCTCTCCCGGCAATTGTCCGAGCGCATGCAAAAACATTTCTCCATCACAAAAGTGATGGCAAAAATCAACATGCTCCGAACCCATTTCCGTGAATTCCTCCTCTACATGACGATCCCTGGTACTAAGGTTTGTCTGTACCGTGGAATTGTTACGGTGAATACGACATATTGAACCTACGTCGGACAGGTTAACTCTATTTTTTTTTCCCTCAATAACATCGGAAAAAATATTTTGTTTGGCTTCTTATTGACCTGAAACTAAAGTGCGTTTTATGTATGTTATTTTTTAAATCACTATGTATTATTTACATGCATTGACATTGTTTAGGAGACCGACTATGACAACTATTTCCGACGCAAAGGCTTCAAATGGTATTACGAATGTGTAGAGCTTTGGGACATGTGCGGTGCTGTCGATGTGGATATGAACTGGGGGACGGGTGGATCAACAGATAATCCAATCATGTATGACGACATTGATGAGGAAAATGAAATGCATGATGAAGCAGCGGTCGAAGATATAAACGGCAATGAAGCGGTGGCTGACTTGCAAGACATGCTTGCAGAAGGTGAGGCCATGGAGTTGGACACTGACGTGGAGTCATGTGTTGACTCCGACTAATCTATATTAACGTGTTCTCGGTAATTATATAGTCCATGCTGTGTGTTGTTTTTAAAGTGTTTTGCTACCCCTGCAGCTAGTATTTTGCTTTGCTTAATGTAATAAGGTCCTGTTTGATGGGTTTGTATGTATTGTGGAAAACTATCGGTATAAAGATAATCCGTGTGTAAGCTATATTCGCAATTTGTGTGGTTGTACTGATGGGATGTTTTGGTTTCGCTGGTAAAATGTTAGAAGTTTCAGTAATGAAAAATATCTATGTACCCATCAAATGTGGTTCACATGTTTATAATGATGCTTCATTAGTATGTTTTTGTTCTGCTTTGTAGTGAGTGACAAACTTCAGAATGTATAAGTGAATGATTAGTGTTGCCTGTCAAAATTTTAGTTGCGCATACTCTTCCAACATTGACTACAAACAAAGTCAAAAATTATTTTCACAGAAATGAAAACATACTAACATAACTGTTGTTAGGATGCTAATTAAAAACTTAAAATGTAGTTAAATAAGTGACCAACATACTAAACAACATGCTTCTGCAAATTTCATCAAAACAGACGAAGTTTATGAGAGACGCATAACCCCGAACACGATCTGTCATACATTTTACCAAAACCTAGTACTAGTACAAGCAGTGCGAATAAATAGATACTTTGAACATGACATGGAAAAAACTTTAAAATTACAACCAAGAAGTCCAACCGAATAATGACACAATTCTAATCGCGTGGATCGCTACTTGATCCCTTCCAAGAAGACATCCCTGGATTCCTTCCAAGAAGACATCCCTGGTTTCATGGAGGAAGAGGAATACCCAAAGGTGTTTGGTTTTCAACCCGCAGAATAAGGATATCAACCTGAGTATTAACAGACTCTTCAGATGAAGCATCAGACGGACGTGTGTGATGAGGTGGGAAAATGCTATTCCGAGTGGAGCATAGATGTTGTAGTGCAGTATGGTGCGATGTATCTTTGTGCGCTCCCGCGACCACGTTCGTTGAATTCCGGTCTTGCACCACATCCTGGGTGTCGCCTCTAAAGACGTTTTAGAACATAAATCGCAAATCTCCCCAGCGCGGGTCACCGGAATGTTGATATGCCACAGAAAAAGGATTTGACTATACGTATGAGAAAATGACAAACTTAGGCTTAAATAACACGAAAACAACACTATATATAAAACACTACTTTTCAGTGCAAAACAAATGGAAAGAATTGGTTTATGTAAACAAATTTAATGGAATATTGCTTAATGAATAATCTTTAATAGCATGTATCAATAACAACATGCAGAGGTTATGACATTTGCATATAAACTTACATATAATATGCAGGTCAAGACTACAATAATTTTTTTTTTTAAATTACATTGAATATTACAAATAGGAATATGTATATTCACATTTTCAATTCAACATTGCAACCCTTACTAAAATCCTGTTTTTTCTTCAACTCTCATTTTTCAACTCACATATTAACCAATGCCATTATCTCAAACATTAAGGACAACTCAACTTGTACCTTTCATCCCATGTAATTATCACTAATAACTTGCAGAATATAGTAACTAATTCAAGCATTGTACTTTGTAATATTTTTTCTTACCTCGAATTTGTCATCCCAAATAGCAACGGGAGCTGTTAGAATATTGGATTGGAAACAATGTCTTAGCCCATGTTTGTGTAACATCCAGCTGAAAACAGAGTACCGTTTATGAAGAAATTCGAACCTCTCACCCAATTCCTGCAAATTGAAATAAGCTTCGTGCTCGGCTATCAACACTAAACGGGTGTAGTTAAAAATCGAGGGGCTTGGTCGACCAACTTTCCAATCACCGAGTAAGTTTAACTCCACTAGCACATCGATAAAAGTACTATCGGCCTTTTTACTCCAAAGGTCATCGTAAAGACATTCATCTTGTGTAATCGGGTTAGAAAGGCGAGGCCTTTTTTTCGGTTTGAAAGAAAAAAATTAGGCGTAATTTTGGATTATGTTAAGATATTATAGCAACACACGCTTATAGTTTATTGGACAATTTGTATTGGCAAGGGAAGCATGGGACTCATCATATTATACTTGCACACGTCAACCTATTATGCAGTCCGTGATGAAAAAATAACAAAAAAATTGATTTAAATAAAAAATAACAAAACGAAAAAAAAAAACAAAAAATCAACCACATGCATTATCGATCACCCTGACGAATGATTACTTCGCGCAGCCAAATTCACGCCACGAAGTGTAAAGTTTTCAAATCTATAATGAAGAGTCCTGAGATCTTCTACTTGAAAGAAAATATCACGGCTTTGTATAGAAATTGTAACCACATGTTACAAAAGAATATAGAAAAAGATTTCCATCATCATATTGTTGGAAGTAAATGATTGGACACACAATATATATATATGTAAATATATAAATAGTAATACAATTCTTACTTACAACTACAATTCAAAATAGAAAGAAATTAAATAAGCTTACAAAACAATTACAATATACAATAAAATTTATGCATGCTTAGTGACGGACTCAAAATAATTTGCAGAAATAAATTCCTCTTTAACATCTTTGGTTTAGAAGCGTTTGGTTTATTTAATTAAAAAAAGCCAAAGGACAAAAGGGTAAATCTAGTATTAATCTCAACAACTGTCAAAGCTAACAAACGCAAGGCAGGTTGTTCACATTTTATCTTACAAAAGACTATCATACTACGCAAACAAAGAGTTGGATCCCATCTCTACAATACAATAGTTGGAGATGAGATAAAATTAATCTTGTCTTGTCTACCTTATCAAACATGCCCATAGTGTACTAGTGCAATCAATCAGTCAAGACATACTATAAAAATGACACTACAATCGTTCACGGTGGGTTGTTCATTTCCAACTAGGTTATGAACCTAATTATTTATGTTTTACAAGTAATCGACAATATGATCTTTTGCTCACCCGCGATGAACCATAATTGTCTAAGTGTAAAACATCATAGCATGAAACTATTTAATTAAACAAGATTATCATTCAACGGGACAATAGTGCTTATTAAACAGAAAAGCCAAGATTTAAGTATACACACTAACAAAGCAAGCACCGAATTTTCTGCCGATGAGCGCTGCCCGACCTCCATCGACCCTTCCAATGGTAATCCACCTTGTATTGCCTCTAGAGTAAAAAACGGGACCCTATCAACCCCATCCTCAGCATGCGGGTTTTCGACTTGAATCTTCTTAGAAAGAAGCCCCACAGACCGAGCAACCCCTTTGACCCCTCTACCAGAGACATTTCTAAATTAAACTTCCTCAAGCCTCAAAGCTTCAACCTGAGGACCGTCCACCTGCATCGATGAAAATTTCTCTTAGACCATGATCTCATTCACTCCTGATAGCATCACCTCCGACACCGTCGCTTCCGGTGCCGCAGTTTCCATACCTTGCGTGGCCATCAACCTTCTACTCTCAGCAACATTTTTCTACAAATCAGCGAGCATTTGTGATCTCCCTGTCACTTGATAAAATCTTCAACAAAACTACCAAGAAAAATACAACTGAAACATAAAAGAAGAAGAACGAAAGTCTGTCAGAAACATATTCTGCATAAAAAAGAAGATATCCCTTCCCTTATATAAAATATCCTCGGATGTCCTCCTTAGCCCACGCGCCAACCACATTAAACATATGATACTTTTTGAGAAAAAGGGCGACTCTTCACATGCCAACGGCATAACACGCTGCGAACCCACTCACAATGTCCGTATTGATTTATAGTTCATTTTTATCCTCGATAAAAAAGAATCTTGAATAGCTTCCTACGACCAGTTGAAGTATCTTGTATAATCTCAGAAACATGGGGGCCTTATGTAGGTACTCAAAATCTACCGACCTGGATTAGACATGCCAAATCAGCTGTGGCATGGACGATAAAATCAATATCAATGATGTCCCCCGAACCGAAAGACCAAAAATATGTCGGCCCAAAACAAAAGACACCAACCTCAATACCAATCCCTCTGCACGTCGTCCAATCTCTCCATGAAGTCTGATCTCACTCCCGACGATAGAATAATAGGACCAACTAAGTTACCTCCCCACATCGGCCAGGGACAAGGTCTCTTTCTTGCTGATTTCTACCAAGCACTAGTGTGAAAGGAGTTGGCACCCAAAACTGATTCCCACTGCCCAAAATGATATACCACTTGCACAAGTTAGGTAAGTTCCAAGGCACATTTCATCATGCATGTTTTTGGCCTCTTAGGGGCTGCCACACATCTCGAATATATTTTATTTTATAGGTTTTTCCTTCAATAAATAGCAGGGCCTCGAGGCCATAAAAATCATCAGAAAATACTTCATAAAATTACCCCAGTATGCTTATATCCCTTGTTCTTCTTGTCTTTATAACCTTAATCAGGCTCCTGTATTAAAGAGGCTCGGAAATGGCCCAAACCACTAAATAAAATCCACTGTGCAGGCACTTTTTAATTCATCGACAATATAGTTATTGTTGTCCCTATTCTCTCCCTTATTTCTTTATTAAATTAGAACTAAATTACTAAATCACACTCTATATAACACACTATCTCTTCGATGGACCTATTGGCAAAACCAAATGTCAACATGCCTTTATGCTCTCAACTAGCTATGTATTATATATGAACTAAATATACAGATTGATTAGTTTACCTCTCCATAAATTTTTCTCCCCCAAATCGGAGTAAACCCTAGTCATTCTTTGTCGCCATTCAGCCTCCTCTCTACCGCGTTCGCTCCCTCTCCGCCGATCAGACGACTCGCACCGAGGTGGCGATGAGTTTTTTCGCCCAGCCTTTGTCCCTTTCTGAAGTGGCGCTCTCCCAAGCCTTTGGTGGCCACGAAAGGTTCAGCGGGGTGAAAGGGCTGTCGCTGCCAGGTTTGTGTACCGCCTCGGTGGTGGTCGGGTCCGTGACCAATGATTGGGCGCTCCCCTGGATCCGTGCCATCCCTGGTATTGGGATGGACGGGTCTGATGACGGGGGTTGTGGTCTCCGTTTTTCAGCAGCCTTCGACGGTTTGGTTAGGGGGGGTGTTCGATCGTGGGTCTCTCGACGCAGGGTGTTGTCTCCCCGGTGGTGGTAGGAGAGTTCGCGGGTGTTGAGGAGGGCCTTTTTTTCTGCATTTTTAGTTTTTTACGGTGTGCCTTCCCTAGCTGGTCGCCGGTCTTCTCGACAACGGCCATCTTTAGCCAGAGCGGACTTCCCCTGATTCTCGCGATGTTTGTTTCCCTTGTGGTGCTGGAGCTGGAGGGCGGTTCAGACGGCCTCGACGAGTTCCTGGTGCCGATCTGAGATGGTACTTTCGTCCTTCGGGTGTTGGCGTTGTGGTGCTTGTCGGGGGCAGGTGATGCACACGATGGTCGGATTATTAAAAATGCGTACAACAGAGCCCGACGAGCTCATCTCAAAGAGGCCAGAAATGGAGCAGCTTCAGGCGCCGCGCCGCGAGACTCTACCACGCAACGACGCCATCTCCTTCCATGCCACGAAGCCTCTCACGCCTGGACTGAGGCGTCGGTTCTTCAGACCATCACACCGCGACAAGCGCCTGCGCCACATCACCTCTATCCCCTCACGCCACGACGAGTGTAACGGGCCAACAGAGGATCCGAATTGATGGCGCTCCACGTCGCGGCACCTGACAAACGTGCAACAACTTATTATCAGTTTCTTGTAGTTTTCTTAATTTTTTTCTTTTCTTTTGGAAACTGTATCTGGTAAGGCGGAGTATTAATAGAACTCTTGTATTAAGTTGAAGGGATCTTTTTTTTAAGCAATAATATAACAAAAATCACCCTTTTTGGGCACCAAATTCATGTCGACCGACGGCCATTCTAGTGCGGGTTTACACTATTTCGTTTATTTTCTTTACAGTCGATACATGATCATAACATTGGTGCTTTCACTGAGAGACACCGATCGTGTATCCATGTCTAATTGAGAAAGAATTGATCGTTTGGAGGAAAGTGTACGTTTGATCAATGAAGACGTACAGTCGACAAATCAAGTGGTCGCTAGGATTGAGAGGATGTTGATCCAAAACGCAACAAGGAGAGCCAAGAGGAACAACTCCGATTTTTGTCGGACGGGGAATCAGACGCAAGTAGTGAAGCCAAATTCCACAATGGATTCACGGGCAAAGATGATAACCATTCAAGGGGCTCGGATCAAAGGGAACGACATAAGAATGAAAGACCCAAGGTTAGTACCAACCTTCAACGGGATGGATCCCGATTCCTGGTTAAATTGAGCAAGACAATATTTTGAAATCAACAAGGTACCGAGGAAGGGACGGGTAAAGATTGCGGCTTATTATCTCGACGGAGAAGCGAACGTGTGGTGGCGTTGGTTGTCAAGGGTTTATAAGAAGAAAAACATCACTATTCGTTGGAGACACTTCGAAAAGGAGTTGATGATGAGGTTTAGTGAGTCAGATTTCCACGAATTTAATGAAGTCATTTCCCATATCAAACAAATTGGGAGTTTACGGGATTACCAAAAAGAATTTGAACGAATAGCAAGTCACATCCATGATTGGCCGGAGAGTGCATTAATTGGTGCATTCGTAGGAGGCTTGAGGGTCGAGTTGGCGGGAGAAGTTCGATTGGAGAGGCCGAAGACTCTACATGCAGCTACAGAAGCAGCTCAGATACGTGACGACCATTTGGCAGCCTTAAAGAAGGTTAGTCGTCTGGAGGTGTGTCGTTCGGGTACATTTTCAGCCCGCACTTCGTGGGCTAGAGATGGAGCATTGGTGGGAAATTCAAGGCCGATACCAAATAGGGTCCGACGACTTTCATGTGATGAGATTCAACGAAAGAGGGAAAAGGGTTTATGCTTCAAGTGCGACGTAAATTCGTACCCTGGGCATTAGTGCAAAGTGAAGCAATCCTTTTTTATTGAATTTAAGGATATTGAGGAAGACGAAAAATGATGTAGACGATCCCAAATATGACACTGATACACAAGTGGATGATCCGAAAATCTCGGTTCATGCAATGGCAGGAACTCAAGGACCCAAGACGATAAGATTGTCGGCGTGGGTTCGAGATCGAAGAGTGGTGGTGCTAGTGGATAATGGTTCATCTCATTATTTCATTAACTCTACCTTGTCCAATAAATTGAATTTAATGATGACCAAGGTGGATCCTTTTGATGTGAGGGTGGCTAATGGGGATCGGTTGAGGTGTTCATAAATATTTAAAGATGTGTCTATAAAGGTACAGGGCGTAACTTTAAAAGCCGACCTCTAGGCGTTGACATTAGTAGGACCGGATGTTGTATTGGGTGTGCAATGGTTAGAGGGGTTGGGACTGGTAACAAGGGATTATAAGGTTGGTACAATGGAGTTTCGTTGGGGTGACATAATAGTTAAGTTGTCGGCCAGAGTTAATGAAGGAGCAAAAAGGGGTAGCTTGAAGAACATGGAAAAATTGTGGAAAGAGGGTAGCCAACTCTTTGCTATCAAGATGGAAAAAATAGGGGAGGAACTCGAGATTAGGCCATCGCATGATTAGGAGATGCAGAACTTACTAGACCATTTTGGTGAGGTGATGAACGAACATAACGGTCTTCCTCCGAACTTTCGATCACCACATTCCACTAAAGGATGAGAATCAAACGGTACATGTTCACCCCTACCGGTATGCTCATTTTCAGAAGACGGAGATCGAGAGACAAGTTCGAGAAATGCTGGAAACAGGACTAATCAGGCACAGTTCCAGCCCATTTTTCTCTCCCGTATTACTTGCTAAGAGGAAGGACGAGACTTGGCGTTTTTGCACGGACAATCGGGCATTGAATGCGGTAACTATAAAGGATTGTTTTCCAATTCCTAGCATTGACGACATGTTGGGCGAACTAGGGGGTTCACGATATTTCTCAATGTTGGATCTCAGGGCAGGATATCACCAGATAAGGGTGGTGAAGGAAGATATTCCGAAGACGACATTTCGTACTCATCAAGGACACTACGAGTATTTAGTAATGTCGTTTGGTTTATATAATGCCCCTTCGACTTTTCAGTTTGGTATGAATTCCATCTCTTGAGAGTTCTTGCGGAAGTTTGTTTTGGTATTTTTTGATGATATTTTGGTATATTCGAAAACCTGGAGCGAGCATCTTGAGCATTTGAAATTGGTATTGAGCATTTTTGCCGAGAATGATTTTCATATTAAACCGTCTAAGTGCTCGTTTGCCCAAGGATCGGTGGAATATTTGGGGCATATAATTTCTTATGAGGGTGTCAAAGTGG